ATAGACGGCCTTCTAACTTTCAGGTAGGTGAGAGAGTCTGGGTGAAATCATCTGAACTGGGACAGGAGATAGGGATCTCAAGAAAACTGATGCCTCAGTACTTTGGGCCCTGGGAGATCTTAGATATTGTAGGGGATCAACCGGATGGGCCTACATACGTGATTCACATACCTGCACACTTAGGGACTTATCCTGTTTTCCATGCCTCCAAGTTGGCACCTTTTGCTGCCACAGACCTGTTACCCTCTCGGAGATCGATGCTGCCCCCAACTATGGATGGCAAAGTGGATATCGACCAGATCGTCGAGCATTGAGTGATGCTTGTTCCTCGACCATCAGGTAGAGGGCGACCTCCTAAACCGAGAATGCAGTATCGTGTGAGCTACAGACATCATCTGGATCCTAAAGAAGACAGGTGGTTCACACGACAAGAACTCATGAGAACAGCACCTCAAGTCATCGCAGGCTATGAAAGAACACTCAAAGGGAAGATGCCTGCAGAATGAGAGACTTCTCAGAGGACTCACGAAGTAAAGGAGGGAATGCGAGGATCAGGGTCCTCGGTAGGCCTATGGGGCCCTGTTTGCAGGCTTACCCGCCCTAAGTGAAGGCGGAGGTGCCCGCCCTAAGTGAAGGCGGGCCTGGCTTTTTGCAAGAGGCCCTCGACTCTCAATTTCATATTTGGGTCCAGGCAGTTGCGGCGCGCCAGTTGGTTGAAAGAAACACAGGCTGAGCACCAGAGACATTTCCACGGCCTACCGGGCCTTTCCAAAGAATGCAGGCCCTGGGCGTGATTCGCAGCCTCATACAGAGACAGTTGGGCGCCCAACCGAACGAGGCCCAGCAACCCAGTAGCTGCTGCATCCAGGCAGCCTCTTGGGGCCTTCCGGAAGCTTTTGGGCCCAGGCCAGCCCAGCCGGGCTGCGAGAGCTGGCCAGCTCTTTTCCATAAAGGAAAGAGTTCTGGCCAGGCAGCCTCATTCAGGCACTCGCATGCTGGGCGCCAGCGTTGCTGGAGCTCATGCTCGTAGGCTGCTGCTAGCGCTGAGAGGCGAGGTGCAGCATGTGCGGTCGTGCAGAGGAGGAGGGCGCTGCTGAGGGCAGCGCCATAGCCCAGCCACCATAGCTGGTGGGCTTGGACTACAGTGAAGCGCAGGGGTGGTCTTCGGGTCAAAGAGAGGACAGGTGTGGTGTAGTCAGGGGATAGGTGAAGGATGATGATGATGTGAGGGCACGTACCTTGTACTGGCGATGGTCTGCATGGGCGACATCTTCAAGTACTTCGGGCTGCCGCTGATGTCAACAGTTGCATTGTCTTTTTGTAATTTGTAGTAGTTGTGTAGGAGTAGGCTGGGCGCTGAGCGCCAAGTGTGAGTGTGAAGGAACTGGACTCTTGTGTTGGGAGGAGAGAGTATGCTCTCCATGAAACTTGGTTTTCAGTGCTACGAACCTCCATTGGTGTATTATTGGTGCAATGCTGCTCTCTGGACACAGTGTGACTATTTGGCTTTCAATGTGATGGTGTGATCTGGAATTGTCATCTCGCTGTTACTTATTTTTCCTTGCAACCTGAAAATTTCTGATATTAGTATTTCGTTTTCACGCAACAAATATCTGAAAATTTCTGATAAATCACATTTCGTTTTATCAGAAAATTCCTAATAGTAGCATTTCGTTTCTCTGATATTCGCATACATAGCCGAAAATTTCTGATGTTAAGTTTTTGTTTTCTAGGCATATTAGGATAATGATAGAGGTGGTCATATTCTCGGAAACCGGATTTATTCTCTTCTGAAAATCGAATCTCCATTATATCTCGCAAATTTTTTTTTGAAAACCGAAATCTTGCGACGCCTACCAGCATTTCGTTTAGGTATATTAGGAGGGTGCCATATTCTCAGAAACTAGACTTGGTTCTTTTCTGAAAATTGCATCTCTACTCTATTTCGCAAAAAAAAAAATTTCAAGATCGCATGTTTTTGAAAGCCGAAACTTTGCGAAACCTGGCCTAGATCTTGCTCATAGTACTTTTCTGACATAACTCACTCATAGCAGATCGACAGATATACAAAAAAAAAAAAAAAAAAGGCGGGTGATCCTCTTCTTTTATTCTTTTTATTTATTTTAGTCTGTTGATTAGGACTGGGAGGAAAGTATAGTTGGGTTGGTTACCTACCTGCGTTTTCCCTCCCACCCACCCCTCTGCATGCATTCCCGGTTTGGTACAGTGCCACGTCAGCAGCAGTGCCACGTCAGCAGTACCATGTCAACAGTGCCACAGTGCCACGTCAGCAGTACCACGTCACCAGTGCCACAGTGCCACGTCAGCAGTGACCCGCCACCATGACGGGCTCAGCTCTGGGCATGCCAGGCCAACTGGCCAATGAGTCCATTATCGAGTACCGACAGCGTTTTGAAGCTCAGCTCGCACTGATCGAGGCTGAGGAACAGCGTCAGGTGGCAGCCGAGGCTGCCCACCTACAGGCTGAAGTGGCGGCAACAGCTGAGAAGCAGCGGCTTCAGGCCGAAGCAAACGCAGATACCCAGACACGCCGCAAGGAGGCCCAGGATCTCCTACAGCGGCATGAAGCCACAAGCATCGAAAAGCTCAAGTTCTGGCACTTTGAACCATCTGAGCAGCACGACGACGCGACACCGGAAGAGCAGCACAAGGACTTCCTGGCCAAGCTCGTGACCCGGTTGGTTTACACTTGTAACCACCTGCAGTCTGAGCTGGCGAATCTCCGACGGGCGGTGCAGCACCACAAGGGTTTACACGAGGATGCCACACGGGCACTTGATTCCCGTGTACAGGACTTGGAGCAATCTGCACCAAAACCAGATGCTGGCGAGTCCAGCAGCGCACCCTCTACCCGCCAATTGGAGGAACGAGTTGACCACGTAGTCGCAATGCTCGGCGACATCAGTACCTTCGCTGCACCAGCCACCATCAGCAAGCAGCTGGACACCTTGAAGACCGAGGTTCAGCAACTGCACCAGCTGCCTAACAAGGATGGCAACATCGCGCAGCACTACAAGATGCCGACATTCCAAATCGAGAAGTTCGATGATTACACGCATCAAGACCCGGTCATCTGGTGGGAGGGCTTTACGACGCAACTTCGGATTCTGTTCGTCCCCAAGCACTCGTACATCGGCGCGTTGTTCCTCAACTCAAAGGGCGGATGCCAGATCTGGCTGAGCCACCTGACAACCGTCCACGGCGTCGACGTCGCAGATATGTAAGATAAGATCTCTTGGGAAGAGTTAACACGACTATGGAAGAAGCGCTTCATCGTGAACGACGCGCCAACACTCGCCATCAACCGCCTCTTCGCTCTGATGCAAGGCAACACATCGACACGCGACTGGCTCACGGAATGGCAAAAGATCGCGGCGACGTCGGATCTCGAATTGCCATTTTTGCATCTACGCCGGGAGTTCTACAACCGGTCATGTGTCGCCTTGAGCCTTGCACTTGGTGATCCCGAGCAATACGCAACCTTCGCTGAAATCATCGACAAGGCAAGGGAGATCATCAAGACCAATAGGGCGGCTGCACACGAGAAGTCAACATGGCAGCCAACCTATGTCGAGAAAGGTAAATTTGGTCCGCATCCGCAGCATGTCGCTGCAGTCCACACGGACAACATTGTGGAAGACCCGGCAGCCACCCAAGCATCACGTGAGGGAGATCAGGTGGCTGCTGTCCAGCCGCGAAGCAACAAGTCCCAAGGAAACGGGAAGGCGAAAACCACATCGCAGGCCGGAAACGGACAGCCAGCACCATGGGTTAAGTTTCACTTGACCGAGGTGGAATACAAGTGGCGCGGCCGCTACGGCTGTTGCCATTGGTGCAACAGCACCAAGCATAAGACCTCCCAATGCCCGCATCAAGGCAAGAAGGATATTCGCCTCGCATCAACTAGGGAAACTGAGTTGCGCGGGAGGTGAGGCGACTTCACCTCTCACTCCGCCAGATTCGGCCGCCTTGCTAGCGGCCTCCTACACATCTGAGGAGGATGCGAATGTCGCAAGTCCTCGGTTCACTTACGAGGATTATGTTGTCCACTTGGTCCCACCGTTGGACCAACCACTCCACGTGCAACAATCCACCGCATGCACGGTTTCACTACCATCGGCAACCGAGTCGGCAGCTTCGCCGCCATCTATAACCGGGGATTCGACGACATGGTCAAGACTTGAAGAGCTCGACCCGTTGACGTTTGCGTACTTCCAATGGATACCCCTTCCCCGGTCCGGTCGATTGCCGAAACCGCATTGCAACGTGCTCATGGCACAATTGCGGGATTACTTGCACACTGCAGTACCAACTCCGTTGATGGATGTCGGAGTAGAGGTTGTCGACCTTCACGATTACATTGCGAAGATCGACCGCGAGTTCAAGACACAATAGTACGACGACATCGACGCGCCATTGTTGTACATACGCATTCAGATCGGAGAGGCGACCTGCAGCGCTTTGATCGATTGCAGAGCATCTCGCAACTACATGAGCCAGGACTTTATGGTACGCGTCAGCCTTGGCCCACGCGTCCGGAGGAAGTCCCAGCCTACGCAAGTCACGTTGGCAGACGGTCACACGCACAAGTCAATCGACCGGTGCATTGATGACGTCCCCGTGTACTTTGCCCTGCATGCAAGCGAGGCGGTGTCCTTCGATATTTTGGACACCAAATTCGACATGATCTTGGGCATGCCATGGCTGCGAAGCGAGGATCACCCGGTGAACTTCTACCGTCGCACCGTTCATGTTCGTGATCGGAACGGAGTACTAGTCCCATGCACGGTGCCTCCTCCTCACCCTTCGATCAGCTGCCACGTGGTGTCCGCCGCAAGCATGTGAGCTTCCATCATCAGAGACGACATCGCGGAGATGGGGGGGTGTTTTCTCCACGCCCTCCCGCCCCATGACGCTTCATCGACGGACTCATCTTCGGACCCACGCATCACCGAGCTTCTCGACGCCTACGGCGACGTGTTCGAAGGCCCTCACAGAGTAGTACCGGATCGTCCCATCCGCCACGAGATCATCGAGGACGGGGCTGTACCTCCACGTGCATCTACCGAATGAGCGAGGAAGAGCTAAGTGTGCTACGGGCACAACTCGACGACCTTCTTGAGAAAGGTTGGATTCGGCCTAGCTCCTCGCCATACGGTGCTCCCGTTCTCTTCGTCAGGAAGAAGAACAAGGATTTGCGGTTGTGCATCGATTATCGCAAGCTCAACGCACAAACGGTCAAGAACGCCAGCCCTCTTCCACGCATCGACGACCTCCTCGAATGGTTGGGCGGCGCCAAGTTCTTCTCCAAGCTAGACCTCAAATGGGGATATCACAAACTCGAGATCCGCCAGGAGGACCGCTACAAGACCGCGTTTAAGACGCGATATGGGCATTTCGAATGGCTGGTTCTGCCATTTGGCCTTACGAATGCCCCGGCCACATTCCAAGCGGCTATGACAACGGAGTTCCGACACATGCTGGATAGATTCGTACTCATCTACCTCGACGACATCTTGGTGTACAGTCGGAGTTTGGACGAGCATGTGGAGCACCTGCGCACCGTTTTGGAGCGGCTACGACAAGCCAAGTACAAAGCCAACCGCGACAAATGCGAATTCGCGCACCAAGAGCTGGAGTACTTGGGACATTATGTAACGCCGCAAGGCATCCGTTTGCTTGCGGACAAGATCGAGGCCATCCACGTATGGCCCGAGCCCACCAACACCACGGACGTTTGTTCATTCATGGGATTGGGGGGCTACTATCAACGCTTCATCACCGGGTACTCAAGGATTGCCGCACCTATGACGAGATTACAATCGCCAAAGGTGCCATTCGTATTCGATGACGATGCATGCCGGTCATTCCAAACACTCAAGACGGCCATGCTCATGGCACCCGTCCTTAGCATCTACGACCCCACCCTGCCAACGAGAGTGACAACCGACGCTTTCGGCTATGGCATTGGGGCAGTCTTGGAACAACACGACGGCGACGACTGGCACCCTATGGAGTATTTCAGCCACAAAGTGCCTCCCATCAATTCACTTGATGATGCAAGGAAGAAGGAGCTGCTCGCGTTCGTGATGGCTCTCAAGCGATGGTGGCACTTCCTCCTTGGGCGTCGAAGGTTCACATGGGTCACGAACAACAACCCATTGACCTACTACAAGACGCAGGATACGGTGAGCAGCACGATCGGACGATGGATGTACTTGATCGACCAATTTGACTTCACACCGAAACATCTCCCGGCCCTCTCCAATCGTGCAGCAGATGCACTCTCGCGAAGACCTGATCTTTGCGCTATGACACATCATGCTTTCGCATTTGACGAGGAACTCCAACGACACTTCATCCGGGGCTATGAGTCCGATCCGGACTTCGCCACGTTGTATGCGCAACTATCTTCGGATCATCCGCCGGCCAGCCACTATCGCATTGCCGACGGGTACTTGCTCCTCCACTCGAGAGGCAAGGACTTATTGTGTGTCCCACGAGACCGTCGTCTTCGGACTCGCCTTCTCGGGAAGTACCATGACTCGCGACTCGCCAACCATTTCGAAGTCAACCGCACTATTGCACGACTTCGACAATGATTCCGATGGCCCTACCTCATTACCGATGTCACTCGGTATTGCGACTCTTGCGAAGTTTGCCGGCGAAGCAAGCCCCGCAATCGCAACCCCTACGGCGAGTTGCGCCTGATGCCTATCCCACGGGAACCCAGCCTCTCCATTACCATGGATGTCACCGGACCATTTCCCCGCGATCGCCTCGGGCACGACGACATCCTCACGGTCTTGGACCGTTTGAGTAAGTACGCGCGTTTTTCCCCTTGCAAGTACTACTCCACGGCTCCCGAGTTGGCACGCCTCTTGCACACCAGCTGGATTTGCGGCCACGGTGTACCGAAAGACATAGTCAGCGACCGCGACACTCGCTTCATGTCGGCATTTTGGACTGCTCTCATGCAGGAGTCCGGCACGAAGATGAAACCAAGTTCGGCTCGGCATCCACAGACGGACGAGCAAACGGAGCGGGCACATCAAACCGCTCAAATGATGCTTCGTACGCTCATCCGCCCGGACCAGAAAGATTGGGTAGACCGCCTCCCCGACATCGAGTTCGCCTACAACACTTCGGTGCACCCGGCGATCGGCGTGACTCCATTCGAGTTCCACCACGGTGGATGGAAAGGTCGTATCTTCGCCGACCTTCTCCTCCCACGACCAGCCGACATCGATGCCGCTTGCTCTCCCGCTTGCGTCCGGAAGTACAGGGAAGTGCTGGCTCAAGCCTGCGCAAACATGCAAAAGGCTCAAATCCGCATGCAGCAGCAAGCCAACAGGCGCCGCGTGCCATGTCCTATCCGCGCCGATGATCTGGTTTGGGTCTCCGCGGAAGAGTTTGCACTGGAACAGGATGTTTCACGCAAACTGCTGCCCAAGTGGTTTGGACCATGGCCCGTAACATCAGCCGCGAGCGATGAGCCAGATGGCCCTTTTTGTGATCAACATCCCCCCGCATCTAACGGTCCATCCAGTCTTTCACGCCTCGAAGTTGGCGACATACACACCCGGTAAGAGCGACGACTTCCGGACCGACGATCGCAGGACCCTCCTATGGATGGTCATCAGGAAGTTGAACGCGTCATCACCGATCGCAAGTACGGCAACAAGCCTCGACAGTACAGGGTTACATTCAAATCATGCGATCGAGACGACACTCGGTGGATTTCAGGAGCAGATTTGAAAGCATCTGTACCGCTGATCTACGCTCATTACGAGAAGCAAAGGTTAGCTCAGGGAACTTCACGACCTGCCCCTCCCACCCGGACTGTGGTCCCTCCCTCAGACAGACAGCTTCGCCCTCGCAGGAAGCTCGATCTTTCAAGGAGGGGGGGGTGTGGCATACTGTGTAATCACACAGGCCAGCACGGCCCGTTCCTCATTCTCAGCCTAAAAGCCTAGAAATAAGGGCTTACAGGCCCCATGTCGTTTCAGCCTGAAAACTGAAAACGAGGGCCTGCAGGCCCTATTTCGTTTTCAGCCTATAACAAGGCCATTCAGGCCCTGAGTCTTTTCAGCCTGAAACGGAGGGCCACTTCCGGGCCCTCATAAGATCGTCCTTCCCTAGAACTCAGGCAACAAACCAGGGTTTTGGGAACAGGCTATTTTTGGCCTGTTCCCCACGCCAGCCTCAGCAGGAGCTGCAGCGCCAGCCCCTGGCTTGCCCTGGCATTGGCAAGAGCAGCTCCCTGGACTGCCTCGCCCTGCAGCTGCAGGCAGTCAGGAGGCAGGCCGAGTGGTACATAGGGAGTTCCCATGCACTTCACGGGTAGGTAGTTGGACAGAAGGCAGGGGGCAGTCTTCAGGATTTCGGCCGCAGCACTCTGGAGGAGCGCTACAGGAGTAGCTTAGCGCTAGCAGTAGTCTTCAGCGCTGGGCGCTAGTAGCTGCAGGAGTAGTCTTCAGCGCTGGGCGCTAGTAGCTGCAGGAGTAGTATTCAGCGCAGGGCGCTAAGTAGTAGTAGTGTTGGAGAGAGATGGCTGGCGGAGGCCAGTGGGACTTACCTGTGGCGCCATAGCTCCAGCTCCATCTTCCAGGTACCTGCATCAAGGCCCCAGCTTCACAGGTTAGTACCGGACAGAGAGAGAGAGAGAGAGTTCTTCTTCTTCCTCTTCTAAGTCCATCTCTTCTTCACCCTCTCACCACCTGACTTCTCAGTATCAGCGGACTACGACAGAGAGAGAGAGAGTTGTGACTTGAGACTTGACGACATTGGATCCAGACTCGACATTGGGATTCAGACATTTTGACAAGGGACTATTTGGGCCTGTGTCGAAGACTTGGTGTTGACGACATTCCCATCTTCCCCTCTTCTTCGTCTAACCYCCCTYTTCTTCGTYTGTGTATGGTTGGGGACTGGCGCATTCTTCCTGTGTGAGCGCCAGGCCCCTTCACACCATGGAGTGATGATGATGATGTATGTTCGGGGCTGCATTGCAATATGGATTGTTCGGATCATTGGTATCTAAGTCTTCCGCTACGTTATCTTGTACTTTGTATGAGAGGTCGGTTCTTGTTCTTGTCTACACCTTTACAGTATGCAACATAGGTCTGTGTAGTGGTAGGGTTTCGATCTGTAGGTCTGTGGATTAGGAGTCACAGCTTTGTAGAGGTCAACGTGGTAGGATTCTGAAAGGTCAAGGTCGTAGCTGCTACAATCCTGAAAGGTCAAGATCATAGTTGCTATAGTACCCGAAAGGCCAAGCCCACAGCCTTCCGGAAGGTCCGCAGGTGGCCTTTCGAAGTGTCTCACGTTCAGTCAGAGGCAAGTGGGCAAGTGGTGAGCCTTTAGTCAGAGGCAAGTGGGCAAGTGGTAAGCCAACTGTGTTACGTCGACAGTGCGACTGTATCGAGTTGGCAGTGCAATCCCATGCAGTCAGCGGCACCGGTCCCAGTCAGTTAGAGTCCAGTCAAGCAAGTACCGTGTGGGACTGTGTGCACCAAGGGCCTGGGAAAGAGGCAAACCAACGAGTTACAGAAGTATAAATCAAGAGGCAGTGCCCAGCCATTCATCCATTCGTGGTGTAAGCCATGCGGAAGCGCTGCTATAGCGTCTTGTGCGAGGTGGTCTGTAGGTGGCCCGAAGTCGAAGTGGGCTTGAGGAAGACAGCATAGCCATAGGGGTAGTAGCGAGCGGCCATAGCCGCCATAGATTAGAGGTAGTTGTTAGTGTGTGTGTGTGTGTGTGGGAGACAGAGTGAGTGTGCGTGGAGTATTCAGGGTGATCCAGAGTTCGGTGTGAACAATGGGGTTGAACGCAGTAACGAGAGTTGTGACGAACAGGCGCTGTTGCGCCATAGCCTGTTGAAGCGAGTTAGCATCCAAACTGTGTTCTCGGTTGCCATATCTCTGAGCTTGGTGTGGGCGTTGTGCGCCAGTGTGAATCGCCATTTGTTTGCGTTTATGCGAAGTGGAAGTGAAAGCAAGTCTGATTGCATTGGTATCGGAGCTGGTACCCACTACTTCACGCGCCATCGTCGTTGTCCATAACTGGCGCCATAGCCGAAGTTGTGCCATCGAAGGAGGAAGTTTGCCATAGCTGCCCCATCAAAGAGAAGTACTGCGTACCTGTAAAGAAGACGATGACGCGCGCGCGCGCGAGAGAGAGAGAGAGAGAGAGGAGTGATACAGTGCGGTCCAAGGAAGAAGAAGAAGTCCATAGCCGTGGAACTCGGGCACGGAGGTAGAAGAAAAGTGAAAGAGGAGGGAGAGACGAAGGATGAGAGAGAAGCCATAGTCGAGGAAGGAGAAGGGAGAGACGAAGAAGGGAAAGGAACTCATAATCGGGGTGAAAACAGAAAGCAGCGAGGAAGAATAAAGGAGGGGGAAAAGAGAAGCAAGGGTTGGCAAGAGAGAAAGTGTCGGCAGCCATAGCCGAATTGACCGTCGACCAAAGGGTTGGCCAGAGTTGACTTGGGCGTTGACCAAGGTTGATTTGGGCTTTGACAGAGGGGTTGACCGGCGTTGACCAGGCGTTGACCAATGCTGTTGACCACGAGTTTGACCAAGCTGGAGTTGGTATAATCTCGCCAAGCCCTTAGCCTATTCCCTCGCCCTATGGATGTGCACTCACCCCATGGTACTTGTTGAGTCTGTCTGTCTCTTCTTTCTGCATTGAGTCTCTTCTGTCCAGGTGATAGGAACTTCGTGTATGAAGGATAGGGCCTTGTTGACCAAACCCACGGGCTGAGTAGGGTTAAAGGTTGTGTCTGACGACTCGACTGTCCCGGAGGACACGAACCCTCCCAAGGACCGGTACTGACCGGTGGGCTGCTCGGTGTGGCACGGTAGGCCCAAAATCCGGGTTGTGGGCTGCACAACAAGTTGTCTAAGTCTTGAGAGGACTTGCTGATCGCGTCGTCATGTTTACGACGTTAAAGAATTCCTAAGGAGTTACGGGGGATCTCCTTAAATGCCTCCTGATCAGCAGTAAGTCCTGTAGTGACAGCTCAGAAGTAGGTCTAGGCTAGTGACCCTAGTTGGCAGGGTCTGAACCAGAGAGAAAGCCAGGTGGGATTGACCGCAATGGCTGGGCATCTGGGTCTGGATTGTGAAGGACAGTGGTGGCGAAAGCTTCCGCCGGCCGTGGTAACCTGGCTGGATCGAAGGGTAAGGCTCTGTGGAGCTTAGAGAGTTAGTAGGTAAGTTAAGTCAGCTAGGGGGTGGAAGTCGAAGTGGTGAGGAGTGGAACTGGCACTCGGTTGTGCATCTTTCACCATGGTTGAGACGCGCGGCGGTAAGATCACCACCCCGTATACTAAAGAGCAAGAAGAGAAAGCCGCCGCCTTCCTGAGAGAGAAGAAGGAGAAGATGGAGCTGATGGAGCTGATTAAGCAGGCGAAGATGTTGCCTTAATGGAGGAGCAAAGCCAAGCAGAAGCAAATGGAGGAGGAGCTTCAAAAGTGGAAAAGGAGCAGGAGGAGAAATTGGCAGCAATACAGTCAGAAACAAAAGAAGAAGAGGAGATACCACTGGAAAGGAGAGGAAGGACAGGAGAGAGAGGGGAATCCAGTGGGGCGCGAGAGGCCGAAGCCAAGATGGAGGCGGAAGCTAAGATGGAGAGAATGGTGAACGAATGGGTAGCTAACTTGGCCCTGGGGAGGAGGATGA